TACACTGTAACTCTCTTCTGGTCGTAAAAGAAGCTTTAATGGAAAAGTGGAATCTCTTACAAAACCAACCGCTACTTTGCTAATTTTTTAAAGAACCACCCCTTATTTCCTGAAAGAAAGGAAAACCATGGCAAAGAACATGCTTGTTAGAGCCAAAATATTTAAGGTCTTTCACGCCGGTATAGATGTGCAACCTGTCACCCCTTGCAGTTTTTCACCAAAAATAATTTACGTATCCAAAAGGTTAGACTGGGCGTTTCCCTCTGTGTCTAATTAACCTCTCTTCATTACTTTTTATAGTGCCCTGTGATCAACAGGGAAACCAAGTTCGCATTTGCAATAAACGCTTTGGTGAAATACACTATCATGTTGCATAATGAAGTTTAAGTTCAATCAAATGATGCATTTTTACAAGTTTTACATGTTTTATAGGGATCAAAGTCTTGAAACTGATGGAAAAACATAACAAATTTTGATAATTAACATGCATTTTTACTTATTAACTGAGATTAACTGACAACCGACAAAGATCGAAATTTTTAACCGACTACCGACAAAGTAACTAAATTTTAACCGACAACCGACAAGTGGACCCCCCCATTCAGACCCTCTTATAAGAGCTGAGCTAGGCCTCCTTAACTCCATTCATGAATAGTCTATAAGTTACTGGGAGAATTCTTTCTTAGGTGGCTTCAAAAAGCAAAGTTGAACCGAAACAACACTTAGCAAATAATACGTTTTGCGTGTAATTTCACAACAGTGTTTTCCAATGTTTGTTTGAATGCCACTAAGCACTGCACTAAGTTGTCACTTTCTACAATGACATGATTAGGTGATAGAATTACTCAATATATTTGAATGAAGATTCTAAGTGTGAGCTAAAAACGGTGCCAAAGTTTTGATATAATTGCCAAAGTCGTATCACCATCAATATATACGCATCCACATTTCTTTGAGTGAACAGAAGAATCCAAAATTTTGAACCAATTCCATATTAGCAACAGTAAATCATACAAAGCATTATATCCTTTTGAAAAGTGAAGCCTTAAACCGCAAGTATCACAATTAATAAATGTAAATTGAAACAAAGCGAGGCAAGTTTCATTCATTTGGTGAAATTCATGAAACGCGAAAAGTTCGACAATTTAGAATCACACAGATTTTTGTGCTCTCTCCTGAATTTATGCAAATTCTATATATCTAAATTTAGGCTAATTCGACACAAAAAATTGGAAAATACTGTGCAACGCGATTAATCGACGCCCTAAGACTCACAACCTCACCAATGTGAACGATCAATTTTAAACAGCAAGAAAAAAAAAAAAAACAAATTCATTGTCAAAATTTTTCCCTAATAATAACAAAAGCACCGCGCGAAACTTTTGTTTAATTGTCAATTTCTTCTGTTTACACGCTTCAATTAAAATTGCATGCTCTTTTTAATTTCACACTTCCTTTACTGTACATATAACAGTGGTGGATCCAGGGGAGTGGCCTGGGGGGCCAGGGCCCCTTCTTATTTTTAGACCAAATTGTAGACTACGAGTAGTCTCTCTTTTTTCCGTAGTCCGTCGAGCAAAACGCGAGACACGCAAATGGCCACGCGCGTGCATTGCTATCACTAAAGCTGAAGAAAAAGAGAGACTGCTCGCAGTCTAACCAAATTGAGGCCGGAAAGGCCGACCGAAAAAAAACTTTTTGGAGACTGGGCTCCCCC